ATAGGTGCTCGGTTTTCTATGAAGAAGACCTCTGTGACATTTACAAAAATGCCGTCAATCTGCTCTCCAAACCAGTGAGAATGTGCACGAAATTTACCAAACCCAAGTTCTTAGGAAAGAAATATCGAACGCTGATTTAATCACCAACCGCCGCGCAAAAGGACTGATTTAAGCCTTTCACGAAATGTGTCTAGAAAGAGTAGAAACACATTCAAATGACGGAAGTGGGCGTTTAATGGGTAGTGCAATGTTTGTCAGTAATATAAAGCAAAATTATCCAACGAAGTGGGGCTTATATTGAACGACAATGCAATCAATGTTTCTGGCATTGAAATGAATCAAACTAGGAGAACTGTTACACCGCATACGGTTGAAAAATGTAACTAATTCACCACTTCCATTGTTGAAGCTCATATTCCAATCAATTCGAAAGATATCAAATCCGTCAAGAAAGGAAAACAGTGTTCTCAATTTCATCAATGTAACCAAGGTTCCTGGACCTTAGTCACTCAAACTTCCCTGCATTTGCATGCATCATTATTGCAACCGTCGGTTTGAACAGTTCAATTCCGAAAACCCTAGGTAACGCCGAGGTGCAAGTTGTGGGGCAGTAATAACTGGAATCTTTCCTGCGACAAAGAGGTATCTTCACAAACCACCGGCTTTGGGACATGTACAGATAGAACATGTCAGCCGTGCGTTAAGAACTTTGATCCAGCAACACTATTGAGGAGGTTTAGAACTTAAGACCTCAGCAGAGGTGATCAGTTGCATATCAACACACGAGGAGAATATTCGCCTCAGGGGATACGGTAAAAGTACGATTAGGTCTTTAACATCCAGATACCATTTGTCTTGCGTATCATAAAGTTATTCTCAGATCAAACGTCTCTAGACAGTTCTTGTTAATAAGAATGGTCTCAACATGCAGGTAAGTTAGCCAACGAAGATCATTCTTGAGATAAACCACTTTTCAATCATATAATCCAGTTAATTCTCGCGCAGAAAGCGTTTCTAACGTGAAGAGAAAAGCTGGTCAACAAGAACGTAAGCCGGTTCAACAGGACAGCGAAGAACATGATAACGATGCTCATATGAAGAACAGTCGGACTCGGAAAACGTTTAAAGGTCTGTGGAAGAAGTCATTTGTTTGACTGAGGATAAGTTTTCAGGATTACAGTTTCATTTCTTGATAACCCTAGATGAGACTTTTGATTACTTTGTGTAATGAACAGCCGACATGATGGATCCCCTCATTACAAAGACCTGCTGTTCAGTGATGAAAAATCGGTAACCTCTGCTTCGGGACTTGTAGTGACGAAACACAATAGGCCCCACCAGGACAGCGCCTACCTTGACTGTAGCTCGGGTTGAGCTCAAGTAATACATTGCTCAAAGGTGCAGAGCTTTTCAAGGATAGTGAGAATGCCGGGTTTGCTAACAAAAAAAGGTCAAGGATGGCATCAAATTGAGCGGGAAAGGTTAAACGAGTTATCAAACTGGAAGGGTAACAAGGAAGCATCAAAGCGGTTAAAATCTCCAGCAATGAACGTTAAACATGTATTGAGATAGGGAACTAAATGGGACAAAAGTGGCTCAGGAACATACCGCAATGGCAGGAGCGACTTTTTTGGGTGCGTTCTTAACATTCACTACAATTATATCGAGCAATGTAACAAGAAGATGGAGCCTAAACCGAGAGAAATAGTTTCTTTGGTGTTAAACCGACGCAAAAGAAAACAATTGTCACACCAGTTACTGTTTAATAAGTTCACCACTCCTCAGTGTCAGTTATGAAAAATAACTGGACAATTGTTGCGGCAGATAACGTAACCTTTTTGTAGCAAAATATCACAATTCATGTCAGAACGTAACCAACTTTCCTGAAGTAAAATGGCACCAACACGTTTGCATGCATGCCGTCCCGAGAGATTCCTGAGAGTGAGCGATTGCTACTGATGCACAATTCATTCCAGATCGGCGAAAACTTCCGAGCGCAAAATTTTCGTTTGTACGATGTTTGGACCAATTACTCGCAGAAAGGATAAGAAGAGAAAAATTTCTATCGCAGCAGTGGGGTTGGAACTCCACGGAAATTCATGCAAATAATCAGATGGACGCAAAAGCACGGTTTATTTTTAAATCTCCACCGTGCTTTCCTGCCCGATGTTATTTTTGCCTATGAATCCCGTGAAAGGGACTGTTTTTATTTTCCACTGTGATCTGGGATTTTCTTATCCTGCAGGATAATAGCACATCTAACCTATCGGGGCCTTATGTGGTTCACCACTCCAAGTCCCGGGGTTTACACTACTGGTTTCGATCACTGAACAGCAGGTCCTCGTGACTATGGGGTTTACCCCGTCTGCTGTTCATCACACGAAAGTGTGTAATAAAAAGACTAACTAACAGCTTGCTTCTTGCCTCACTGAATGGTGACCTCCACTTGGTGTTTGATGATTCCAGCGATGGCAGCATCAATTCAAACGATCTTTTTGGTTTGAGCAATATCCGCGACTGTACCACCAAAGGTAACCTGAACACAGTGATAATCAACGACCCCTGTCTTTCATTTATATCTCAACCTTGCTTTTCTGTCACTGGTTGCACTATAAGCAGAACATTTCAAGCTGCACAATTAAAAGATATGCTCGCATCTAAAGCTATTATGTGTTTCTGACGGAAGGACACACTGCCAGATTCTGATACCTCATCTTGTGTATATTAATTTACCGGTTCCTATGGTACTGAATTCATTGATCTCATGACCATCGCCTATCCGATCGGGTTCGTGAACATCACCCAGCTTGGCTACGTTGAGGAACAACTAAGACAGTTACGAGCGCGGTGTGTTTGCATCTCGTTGAGTCAAATCACTCGGTGAAACATCGTATCTTAGCCACAACTAAAGCCGTAAATATTCGGACTCACCCTCCCTCTCTCCCGTTTTGCGCTCAGAATAATTTCATTCAAGCACTTATTCTTTCCTGGTCCACTTCATCCACCCCGACATGTGTGCAGTCACTGGAACTTTTGACACGGTGATCAATTTCAAACAAGCACACATGATTGGAGCCAGAGCTGAACCGGTAGAACTCGACTCTTTCACTCCCTGTTTGTTCCTGTTGTTAGTTACACTTTATGCTTACGAATAACTGAAGACGATCTTGTTCGCCAAGCTTCTTTTTCTCAAATTTGTTACTCACACAACATCAAAGCATCTTTTGCCCAGGTCTAAATGAATCCTTTGACTGATACTACAAAGTTCATTGTGAACTAGTCCTTGAGTGGCTGTGAAATATTGGAGACCTAACACGGTTTTTCCCCCATGCAAAAGACTACCATACCTGGAAGCCTAAACGTCTACTGGGCCAAAAGTGACCGAGGATCATGACCAAATTATTGTTGCGCATGCCCACGTGTTGATCAGCATAAAATATGCACCTTAACTGTAGTGGCATCACTTGTCAACTTTATCAACAAATTCTCCAATGGTAAGACGATATCATTCACGCCTGTATTTGTCGCCCGCTCCTCGTTGTTTGAAATGATTCCTTCACAAAGTGGAAGCAATAATGGATCCAAAACAAACGTTTGGCTATCCGACAAGCTAAATGCGAGGATACAGCTCACCAATAAGTTCAAAAATGATTTCAAACCCTTTTATCAATCATTGCAGAGTGTGCCGAGGTACACGTCTTCGTGCAGGCAATCTCATCTCATCTCAATCGGGGACTTTTCTGGCATCTACCACACACTCGGGCATAACGATGATATCAATATGTACCTTTCTGTGTTCCAATGCTGTTAAACTCAAAGGCTTATCGAATACTGAGCTGTTTGCTTCACGCTTGATCCCCTGACTTAATCCGTCTCAGTTTTCGGGGCGTATCATTGTCTTTTTAATATAAGAATTTTCAAAGAATCATGTAATCAACTATGACAAGTCGCTCTACAGATTTGAATCCATCAAGTACTTGAGAATCAACATGAACACTAAGCTTCGATGGATTTCACTTAATCAGTTATGTGGAGGGACAGATGACGACTATCGGTTCACATTTGTCAATTCATGTGATGTCCTATTACACCATCAATTCTCTTTGCGTCTGGATTCCAGTCTAGCACCTCAATCCCACTTTCCTATCCTCCTGCAAAGTTACAATGATTACTAAAACAAGATCTGATAACAGTGTGAGATGTGTCGATAATGATCACCTGTGAATTCCCTTGTTCTCTCGCATGAGCTTGCCTATCAGCCGATTGACGGGGACATTGAACCTTGCACTACGTTTGTCCACCTCCGACCCTCAGGCCTCCCTTTCAGCCCTGACCTTAGTTCCTGCCCATGGCATAGGAAAACACGTTGAAGCTATTGCCGCATTGGTACTAGCAATACAATTTATAAAACTATTTCATTTCCCCCGTCCAACTCTGATATCACAACAAAAGGTAGTAAAAGAATTGCTCTTGAATCTTGCGTTGTTAACCATCTAATCCCCACACTCCACCGCTTCACTCTATTCAACTACATCTGCACATATCCAATAAGCTAATCTTTCACAGAGTGTTTTTACTTGAAATTTTAGCAAACTATTATAAAAATTATGTGAATAACAGTCACCTTCGTTTAAAAAACTGTAAAAGTTGACTCCAAAGACATTAGAAGTCTGAATGGAGAATTTTCAGCCTATATTATTCTTTACCTGTCGGATGAAGGTAACATTGTCTATTCACCAATAATTTCAAAAGTGTCAAACAGTCTTCACGACGGAAATGGAGACCCCATTTTTGTACAGAACAAGTATTAATATAAACAAATTTGAGGTTTTCTGTAAAAAAGTAGAACAGGCAACAGGATGATCCAAAAAATAACTATCACATGTTCCAGCTAACGAGTTCATTCTCAACCAACGGCGAATGAGGTCAGGTTTATGCATGTCAGTAAAGCCTGTCTCTCACCGCATTACAATCCACGACTACAACATGATGGTTTGGGATCAAAGGCTTTCATTGTTTGTCTGAATGCTCCTCTGGGACGCTAAGGGATCCGAATCGGTCACGTTCACGAGTCGAATACACTGCAACTCGTAACGTAGATCATTTGCTTCCAGATAAGCTACCGCTCGTCGCAACGGGTCGGACAGGGAGCTTAACCAGCCACGGAGCGCTTGAGAACGCTGCACGCAAATTGGATCTGTGTTTATTTTCCTACACGGGGATGGATTGAGATAGGTTTCGGTCACAATTGGACGAAACCATCGTGTCCCAATCAACCTTCGCACGGCATTACGTGCTAGAAAAAACAGTCTTGGTGGTCTGTGAAACCGTTGGAAGACATCATGATAGGCTAGCATATGTTTGTCGTGGTGAAACTCACTGGTGGGCACGGAGAAGAACGACTGATCACAGCTTGGGCTGGAATAAATCACATTTAGCCACAAAATAATGAACGACTGCAAACTGGCCGAGAATCCGTTCTCGTGCAATCTGTCGTGGCTTCGAGATAAACACTGCAGAAGCACAGTATACAACGGGGAAGTAAATTTATGTTGGACGGCAAGGTCGGAGATATGTTGTTTACCCAGAGGTACTTGTAACCCGGATTGAAGTAACTGTCGAATAATTCCTGCCGCATCGATCTGCAAATCCTCTTCTATTTGGGATGAATCGGGGGCGAATCTTTCAGAAAGTTGGGTACTAGCTATTTGGAAGAGTTTGCTGATACGCGAAAGATGTATACCACCAAAGGAACAGTCATCCCTTTCCGATTTCATCAGTAAACGTACGTCAGCACCTTTGTTTAGTAGCATCGACAGAAGCTGAGGGAAGATTGATCGTTCGTTTCGACTGTTGTTCCCAAACAGATTATTGCCAGTGTACTCAATTGTTTGTTTTTGTTGAATCACATGAAGAAATAGATCGATAACTGAGGTGAAATGCAGACGCATTGTGTCCGAAGAGGAATAATCATCGAAGTAGGTTTGGACCACATTCAGATCAAATCCAATATCTAAAAACAATTCAAAATCATCCCAGTGATGATGATATGCGGCCAGACAGAATAGCGAATGAGTGGAACTTCGAGTGTGAGCGGATATTTCACGATAACCGAACGTACGGGTTCGACACGCCAAGGCACGTTGTTTCGGTCGAGTTCGGGGACGGCCGATAACTTTTCGTTTCCGGCCCATGGTCGGCCGAACCACACGGGAATCAGCATGAGATGGGCAGGTCTCAGGTTTATCTATTTTACATGAGGAGGAAGAAATATTGCGTGTTTCTGTACTGGGGTCATCAACCGTCGGAGCGTTTTCTTCCAAAAGAGGTTGGCTGGAAGCAGTACGTCGAAGGGTAATGGAATGCAAGAGTCGACTACCTCTACGACGGGTAGGAACGAAATCGATAGAGTCTTGTCGGTCCGCAGTCCAAAATTGATCATTGGCTAGAAAAATGATTCGTCGAATTTGTTCTTTCGTTCGGTGAGCAATTTTTGTCCACATCAGACGCATTTTGTTCTCTTTTGACATTAGACTTTTTGTCCGCAAACGATTGATACACAGAAGAAACGAATTGTACAGACTTGGATTTGGTTCCAGACTTTCATAGGAGGAGCGAATGGGAGAGTTCATCCAATGAAACTGAAAATCTGACCGTCACACTTGTCCCGAATAGTTTCAGTTTGGGATAGCACCACAGATGTACTATAGACTATTGTATTGGCTGAACTTCGGAATGTTGATATGAGAAAAACAATGTGATGCAACATTGTGATGAGCTCCGTTTGAATAGTCCTTATATACACGTAATTCAGCTTGTCCGGGTGGTAAAATCACCTGACCTTTGAACGTTTTCTGCTGGGATCGTTTTCAACCTGTTACTGATGATCTGTGAACGCACCTGTTAGACAATGTTCAACCAATTGGATAGAACCTGTTAGGTGTTGCATCTGATTGGTCGGTTCGGAAATTAAAAAGCTCCCATTCTGATTGGTTAAGTGCAAAACTGATTTAGCCAATATTGCTTCGCTCGCTTGTCTTAGCCAATAGGATCCGGGTGAATTGCAACCAATAGGATGTGAATTAATTTATCCACAAATTAAAACGTTATTAAAAACGGTGTGTTTCTGTCTCCGTTAGGTGAGTCATGAGAGTAATCACATTGCGTAATAATCACTTTTCACATTTCTCTTCCAGTTACTTGTGAGTAGCTATGTGAAATGAGCAGTGTCAATTAGAACGAGCCATCCTCCGAACTCCAACTTGAAACACAGTCCGTACTTCATCTGTCCAGAAACACTCAAGTTGAGTTTCGCTCTCCGTGAAGTTCATCAGGAGTGTAAATTAACTTTGGACTGGAGTCAACAGATAGAAAGCTGTCTTTTGTTGTTGTTATCGGTTGAATATCTTCAAAGAGATGTTAAAAAAGTAACCAGAAATTGCCAATTTTGATCAGCCCCAGTGTGAGCTAACTGACACAATGGGGCCTTCCGTGAGACGGGTCCATAGTTAAAAACCCAGAAGGGACGGTGGATACGCATAACTAAAAAACTCTAATGAAAGCGGAACTCGACTCCAGCAGTTTTTGATTGTACGGTTGACTGAACTGAGGATCGTGCGTGAGCTTGAAGTCCCAAGGATGGTCAGTTAAAAATAATCATTTTTTTAATTGTACTGTGTAATCATTTAGCCGATCCGTCGACCGGTGATCACGTGCGCACATCAAAACTATCCGATCAGATGAATGACCACGTAGGTACACAGACTAGCCGCGTTCGGAGAACTTCACCCGACCGGGCTAAACACCCCTAAGGTGAGGACAGTGTGTGTGTATGTTTGTGCGGGTATCCGCTATATCTAGTATGGGGGATCAATCGGTAGCCCATTGTGTGCTTCATTTTCCTACTTATGAAATCCCTACGACCCGCAATCGATTGCAGAAACACTCCGAACTATATTCTCTTGAAACACTTTACAAGCACTTCAAAAATAGGATGAACACTATATACAAAACGTGAACGATTGTGGTGATAAACCTAACCGAATTAAATTACATCATTCTGACTTCTAGTAAGTTACTAAGCAGTTTCTCTTTTTATTTATATATCCACAGAAGAATGTGTTGCAATCCCTAAAACACTCTCAACAAATGGAAATTCGTTTTTCGACAGAACCACACTTGATGTCGAAGAAATGGTCAAGGCTACTTCCGGATGTCTGGAATCCGTTCTTTTAACCGATGACGGAGCTTTATACCAACAAACCGATGGAGTGGCAATGGATTCTTCAGTGTCACCGACTGTAGCAAGCATTTTCGTGAAACATCTCGTCGAGGGGGAACTGAGAGATATGCCAACACCACCAAGAGTCAGGTGGACATAGACAGATGACATGTTTACAGTGATCGATAACTGAATTTCTGAGACTTTTCACACGTTTAAGTGCCCTTTCACAATGAAATAAAGAATAAAATAGAATAACAAGTAGAAAGAATTATTTTTTAGACTGCCTGGTACTTTTCATGTACATGTAAGGAGATCCAACACATACAAGCATATATATGTCCTACTCCTCTGATCACCCTATAGATCTGACGCAATAAGCGAAAACAAGTTCTTTTCAAACTGAAGGAACAAATGCAAAGATGTTCGACTAGTTCCAGCAACGTTGACCGAGAACGGATATCCTCAAAGTTTTCTTCAGAAAATTGATAAAAGTCTTTGAAAATCCATGGAGGTCGAAGTCGAAAAGACAGATCGGACCACAAGTATTGTCAAACCTTAAGGTCGCAATTCATCAGAAGACATCCAGCGAATGTTGAACGGTTTCAATTTACCGGTAACATTTCTGATAACTAACACTACATGTTCACTACCAAAGAGACGTAAGCACAAACAACCAAAAGTTGATCAACTGAATTTCACCTATACGATACGATTTGTACGAATTCCAGCAACGTAAGTTGGACAAACAAGCATAAAACTAAGGGGAAGCGTAGATGCGCATGTCCGAACATCCAAACGTGCTCAAAAAATGTATCGGAGTTCAGGAACTTGAGGCGGGACTCAGCTCCGGCTCTACATTTGTTTGCTGTTGAACAGACGCTCATTCTTAAATAAGATTTCAGGTCACATAGATGGCTTACTTAGTCATGGTTTATCAACAGTGGGAGAATTGTGTCAATCGATCGGATGAAGCTCAAATATCATTCCACCAGCTTGACATTTTTTATCCAGTCAGCCACAAGCGTTCACGCTCACACTCGCACGCAGCATTAAATCTCGCCAAACCTCAAACGTCCTCACAGATTCTAATCTCCTGTCACCCTTGAGTATATACGTAGCTGTTTGACCTCATGTTCATTCGCAACTTGTCACTATTTCGTTTCCTACCACACACACATTCCGGGTTTTTCCTTCACCATCTGACACTATTTCGCTCACAGTTTGCGCAAATGACCTGCAGTGGGTCCTGCAAAAGCGTGGAAATGTCATCACCAAAAATATTTGTTCTTCCTTTTCTCTCGCATTCGCTGATCCAAGCGCTCCTATACAGATCCAAAATTTTAGATCACATTGAGATACAGTAAAGCGAATGACCAAATGGAGAGAGGGAAAGTTTCTCGGTGTAATGTGACAGTGTCATCATCTGGTATTTTCAGCTTCCCGGTGATTTCCGTTCTGGTTCCGATAGGTGGCGAGTAGATGAACTTAGGTATCAGTTTTTAGACTTGTTGATGTTGTTGGGTCGAAGAACAAAATTTGTCTCAGCTCACAACACTGCAGTGAGACTAATAAACTGTCCTGAAGAGATAAAGACTGAGATTGGGATATTTTCATTCATGAGTGCGTAGTGGGGAGAACTGATCATCATCCGATTATACAGCCGTGCGTTGCAATGAAGTGCTCAGGAACATATGCTAATAACCCTCAAAGTAGTAGACGAATACCAGATCTACCGTGATCACCCGGTCTGCTGATGGAACCTTGATAAAAACAAGCTTCAAGGGGAGGATGTGATTTCCTAGGAAATTTTTAAAATTTAACTGGCAGCCCTAACGGAGCCATTCTGTTTCATAATATTCGTCAAACGGGAGTAATCCCTGATGATTTATCTAACTCGGTCTTACGTCCCAGTAACCAATAGGGAGGTGAGAAAATTGGCGTGAATTAATGAGGAGTGGCCCTAATCAAGATGAAGGCTGAATCACTTGCGACTATACTCGTCAATCGGTTCGTGCTAATTAGTGCTAAGCACATCCATCCAAATAGGGGTTTTCCGCCGCAGAGTTCCCAAAAAACCGTTACCAGTTTTGATAGCTGGTATCAGCAAGTCTCATTTGCGTTACCTTCAACTCGACTCTCTCTAGATCATCTTGAGAACGAATAGATACCAGCAAGGCTAGTCTACATCCTCAATTCATGGACATTAGGGCGCATATCCACGCTTGAACTGAAGAGTGGGAAGAATTTGTTTCGGACTCGAGAGCCAAAATAGGCTTTATGCCGCCAACGTTGGGTTTTTACATCGCCAGCAATTAGGCTCAGACCCGTNCGTAAAATACGAAATTTCCTTTGTTTGCCATAATGGCCGATCGTCCTTAGTGAGTAACATTGCACAGTGAACGTAAACATCAACCGCATCTTATTGGTACTATTGGCTTCGCATTCTAGAGCACTAAATGAAGAAAATACTATATTTCAAGTCACTTCTCCTATAACATGAACCAACTAGTCATGGGTACTGAATTAAACAGATAAAGACCTGCAAATTTCTTTGTTCCGTGATACTCCCGAGAGGTCAGCGAATCGGACAAATTAATTTCTTATTGAACTGTGGGAGTAAAGTGTTCCTATAGCTTCAAAAGACATTCTAAATCGGTGATGAAGTCAATCTACACTCGAAATGTGTGCCCCTCAAGGAGTTTTTCAACCTGTGTTCACTTATAACTGCGCAACCATTCTAATGAGAGTGAAGGATAGTCACAGGTTTTGACCATTGGTGTCTACACATTATTCTAAAAAAAGTTGGCAACTCCGTAACTCCAACAACATGCTCAGACAATGCTGATTGACAAATTGTCATCGTGAACTCGACTTTAATGGTTTTGTCATGTTCGCCAACGACCTGACCGACGTGATTCAGCACGGCCTCGATCAGCTAACCACCTACTCCCAAAAACAATAAAAAATCAGCTGGTTATCCATTGATACTGACTTAGCTTTCCATCATGATACATCGTCAGCCTCTGTCGGAGATGCCCGTAAAGCACACTTGGATTCATTTGAAAAACAACAGTAAGGCTATTTACACTTCAAGATCTTTATACCCCTGGAGTATAAACGTGGTCTTGTTCGGACCTTATTTGACAGAACGAGGCGAATCTGCAGGGAAAGCAGAATTGAACAAGAACTGCAAAACCTCCGGGAGCTTTTAGCAAAAAAAGCTTAACCCGAAGCGTTTGTTAATAAGCATAGCAAACCGAAAATTGTGAAAGAACCGATTGCGTCAGTTCCCAAATCGCGGGTCACAGAGCCCCTTCAATTCAAAGGTGATAACTTAAGCCGCCTGCTCTACAAACGACTGAGGTCAGCAATCGCTCGAACCTACTACGCAGCCTACCCCCAAATCGC